AAGTGAGCCCTCCAGAATCTCGGACACGTAGTTTGCGGTGTTGACAGTCTGGTTTTTTGGCACCACGTGAAGTTCAGTCAGGCCCTGTGCGGTCATTCCGCCCCACACCATGAGTTTCGCGGGGTGCTTGATGGTTTCAACCGGGGGCACTTCGTCGCGAGATTTCGCCCAGACTCGATCGTTTTGCCGATTTGGCGTGTGCTGGATTTCGAAGATGGACTCGTCGGACCAGATGACGTTCTTGAACTCATCGAAGCCCCAATTTTTTACCCTCTTGCAAAATTCCAATCTTGCAAGCTTCTGTTTTCTTGTCATTTTCGGCTGTTTTGATCTTTTGTACGACCGGAAATGCTTCGACTGGGTCATGAACCGATGGACACTCGACTTTGACACCGGGTAACCCTTTCGCGTCAGCCGCGTGGCCAATTTCCTGACGCTTTGGCCACGCTTGCCAGCAGCTTTGGCACAGACGATTCTGGCGACGTTGGACACGGCACGCGGCCGGCCTGAACGTTTCTTGTCGGCTAACGGTTTGCCGTCGCGAAAACGTTTCCACCACCGGTAGACAGTGGTCCGATCGACGCCCAGCTTCTCTGCGACAACCCCCTGCGCCACGCCACCTTCCAGCAACCCGATCGCGCGGGAGCGCACCGCCTCTCTGCGCGTTACCCGTCCGGCCACCTTCATGTCTGCGACTGACCTAAGGTCAGACGGCGGCCGCCCCAGACGGGTCAGCCGTGCCCCGCGGCAATAACCGCCGCTGGGTCGGGTGGGCAGTCGCGCCGTCTACCTGGGACAAGCGGAAGGTTGCCAGTGGAACGTTGATATTAGCGGTAGAGACAAAACATATGGGAAAACGGATGTTGCAAAACTTTCGGGACACCCTGTATGTCACGGTGTTCTGGACCAGGCCTAGACTGCGTTTAGCAGAGGATCACGGTCCATGGAGGTGGTGCGTGTGGCGTTTGAACATCTTTCCACCCTTCTGACTGACGTGAGCTGACAGCCAGCCAGCACTGAACAGCAAGGAATGTATCGCGTCACTGAGGTGACTTTGAACTGTTACACGTATCTGAGTCCGAGATTGTGACCCGACATTGACATGATTGGACCAGAGCCCGACAGCTGGAACGAAACGAGATTAATGGCACGATGTGAGAAGTTGTTGTCTCGACCGTTCACAAGATACTGGTTCAAGGTTGGGCTATGTCAAGCTGAGGGCAGGTAAAATTAAAGAAATGCCGTTACTTTAGTGGCCATTTATTACTGAGCCATTCTTTGTCCTTTTTCAAGGTCGCCCTGGATTGTGATCAGCGGGCGCCGGGCGGGTATGCGCACAGTGGGCGGTCTCTGCGCACGCCGCTACATACCCCTGCCGAGCTGTTATCAGTGCGTCGCCCCCGCCAAGGACCGGCCTAGCGTCCGTCTCCACTATAAAATGCTTCAGCCTCGGCTGTGGATTCCCTGACACGCTGCAGTCAAGGTTACACCAGCTCGTATGCTGCGAATGCCGCTGTTTTTTCGGTGCTCTGCTGCGATTTTCTCTATTGTTTTGAATAGAAGCTCTGCAGTGCTGTATTCTCATTCCGCTGAATTGAATCCCCTGCAAGGGCACTTGGCCTGGGAGCTACCGGATAAGTCTGCTCTCCACCAACTTGATCCCTGGATAATACGGCAAAAAAAGTCCGTGCAGTTAACCATCTCCAGCGGCCGTCTCCAAGCCCTCGTGGGAGCGGGGAGGGGCGGGCCGGGGGAGGTATGACTCCGGGAACGGTCCGGGGATGGCCGCTCTCACGGTGGCAGTGACCGCGGCTCGATGGAGCCATAGGTCCGCCATAGGTCCGGCACTGAGGAGCGGACCTATGGCTGTGGTGCGGACCTGTCTAACGCCGCCTGGCTCTGCGGCCGGTCCGGAGGAGGCTGCGTGCCCCGCGCCGATCCGTTCCCTTCCAGATTCCCCGTCCCCGGTCGACCTCCAGCGGCCGGACGGCGGACCGTTTGCCCGACGACCTACCGGTTCGCCACGGCGATGAACCAGTCAGCCTTCGGTCGACCTCAGGGGTCCGTGTGCCCTGTGCTGGCCCCGCCCTGCCCTGTTCTATGTTCGTCGGACCCGGCGACTGCCCGACTCCGCCGGCAGCGGCGGCGGACTCAGACTGGTCTGGCCGCGCCTGCGCCGCCGGCTGTTCCGCACTACACTGCCGGCCACTCAGGGTCGAACAGGGCGGGGTTCATGAGAGAGGGAGAGAGGAGGGAGGGAGGACAGAGACAAGGAGATAAGGAGAGAGCCGCGCACGGCGGGTGCGGCGCGGCCTGGAAGAATAAAAGAATCAAGCGCTAAAACATGGACTTTACCGTTTCGAAGCTTCCCATTTGGTGGGCAACGCCAGACCATTTCATTCAAAGATGGTGACCACTCTCTTGATTCCCGCTTCCGGACGATTGGTTTGATCATAATTCATAAGTACCTATCTATACACTAAACAGCACTGGGACAAGTTAATTCGCTTAGTGTCGGGTCACAGCCACCCCATCACGAACTCCGCTCGCATGGCTGCTGGAGAGCCCGCCTGGCAGCCGCTGAGCTCTGGCCCTGTCCCCCGCTTGTGACCGGAGTTAAGCGGCGTTGTCCCGTCGTGCTCTGCGTCGGTCTATTGTCCGGTGCTGTCCGGACGGGCACGGTCCCTACCCGTTCCACCCTGGCGACCCTCTGTGAGACCGCGGTCACGACCAGAGCTCACGAATCAAAACTGCAAACGGCCGCGTGGCAGACCCACGCTCTGAAGGAATGCGCTCATGTCACGCCGCCTCAACAAAGAGGTCTGATAAGGGCACGGTTCTAGGAGCGGCTGTCAGAGGGTTAATCGGCGCTGGTGTCATGTGCATTTTCCACAAGATGCTGTTTTCAAACTCATCGCCATACGCCGATGCTGTTCGTCAGTCTTTTTCAGATCGACAGAAGTCATTGCCAGATTGACAGAAGTCATACCATGGCCTTCATGGTCCGGTAGTCTCCGTCACATACACGTTACCTTTTGCACGTTTTGATGGTCATGGAGTCGCCAGTGACCGAGTGACCGAGACTGGTCACCGAGTCCGAACCCCTGGCAGCATCTCTGCCAATGATCCGCCTCAGGACCGGCGAATCGGTCCGAAAGCCGGCCCTCGGTGCTCACGGGGCTTAATGACATGTTATTGGGTTAAGGACCCGAGACCAATGTCGAATCACGTTTTATGGCGTGTTTATTGTGCTGCCGCGGCTGTTGCGTCGGATTGATTCGTTCCGTCATTGGTGCTGGGTCGTGTTCAGTGAACCCTGCGAGATGTTTGTCCTCGCCTGTCGAGACACCGCTGGCCTGCCATCCGCCGCTGTGTCCGGTGGGGCCTTTTTTACCAGTTTTTACCGGCACATATTGGCGCTCAGCCGCCGTCGGCCAGTAATGGCCGGATGCCTCCGCTGCCGCCGGCCCACGTGAGGCAGGTCAGTATTGGCTGGCACGCAGACGGCACGCTACTCCTGCGGCCGTGTGCGCCAGACAAGCGGAGGAGTCTGCTCCGACGGCCGTCTCAGGGCCGTGGCGGTGGATGCCTCCCCACGGACGGACGAACGGACGGACGGACCACACGCGTGACCTTCCCTTCCTGTGCGTGTCGTCTACGTGCGTGTAGAAGATGCGTGCATAAAGTGCGATGTAGCGTGCGATAGTCGTCGCCGTGGAGGTGCCTGTGCCGGTGTCCCGGGTGGCGTCACGTCAGGTCCTGCCGGTCAGCCGGTCCGCCGGCCGGCCCTCGGCGGACCGCCAGCCGACCCTGAGCCAGTTGGACCGCCGCCGCCGCCGCCCCACCCCGGGCGCCAGCTGGCCCATTGACCTACAAGGCTGCCTCCGCTGCGCGCCGGGGCTCCCACTGGCACGGACCTGCCCCTGACGCAACTCAGGCGGCCCTGATGGATTGTCATGGGTATCCTGGCCGCGCAGCAGTCAGAGTCGCATCAGAGCGCACATTCGCGCGGCTTGTTTTTGAGGTAGATATTCCAACGCGCAGTTTTTTCCTATGCATAGTTCAATTTCTCATGTCATGAGTCAACAATGAATGGTTGCGTGCTGAATTGCATCCATGGAGGCACGCAAGTCCCGGCTGCCGGAATGTGTCGGTCGGCGGCGGCGGCTATGTTCAGCGCTGACTTAGCCTTCCGACCTGACTTGCTACAGGCTAGATGACCTTGACCATCCGGCTGACCTACTATGCTTGTTAGATCGCAACATGGCCGCTCACTGTTTCGTGCTGTGACTCAGCGTCATTTTGTTGTATTATATCCGCTTTTCATGCTGCACTATGAGAGTATTTACTTGCTATTGTGGTTTGTTTTTCATGAAGAGCGCAGCAAAACACGGGATAAATCATTGAAATGGCCATGCTTATGCATTATGAATGCTGGCCGCAGTATGAGTTACTGCGTCCGGTGCGGTGATTTATGTCGTTCTCCGTGCCGTGCCATTGGGAGGCAGGGAGGAGGGAGAGGCGTGGTATGGGAGGTGGTAACTCAGCCGGGCGCCGTGCCGGCCTTGGACAGTACGCGGCCTCACCGGACCACCGCACACATCTGGGGGGTGGTGCGGTACGGGCAGCCACAATAGCAGCTAAACAGACAAATGTCGGGTGGTACGGTACGAGCAGCCACAATAGCAGCTAAATAACCAACTGTTGGGAATGACTGAAACCGTCACACAGTTGGCCAAATCGCTCCAGCTGTGCGTCATTTGTTTGCCCCGATATTTTTTTTGCGCTTTAGGTATTTAGCGTCACCTTCCTAATTGTTTCGCTTTTTTTCCTTATTACGTCATTTTCTTCAGCTCTGACGCTCTTCTGGTCTCAGTGAAGCCACCGCTGGAACTGCTTAGTTTTTATCTGCTCTGGGGATCGCCGCACTGGTGTCTGGGTAGTGGGGACCGTGCCGCAACTCCCTCCCCGCTCACCACCCTCCCCGCCTCTCCCCACAGCGAGCTGGAGGCCCAGTTCCCCACCATCCGCGGGGAGATGCTGGCGCTGCTCGACTCCGAGCGGCCTGAGGACGGCTTCCAGCCGGAGCAGGAGCAGCTCAGCAAAGAGGGCGACTGGAAACAGTACACCATGTACCGGCGCGGCCGGAAGAACCAGTACGCCTGCGTCAAGACGCCACGCACGTGCGAGATCATCGACAAGTTCCCCGAGGCCGCAGGTACGGGCGTGGAGGGCTGTGTGGGGAGGGGAGGATGGAGTCGATACAGGGCTGCTTGTGTTTGGGGGGGGGAGGCCGGAGGGGGGAGTGTGGAGTCGATACAGGGCTGTGCGGGGAGGGGTGGGTTGAGTCGATACAGGGCTGTGCGGGGAGGGGAGGGCGGAGCCGATACACAAAGTGGTCTGTTTTCGCCGTATGCCGGCCGCCCTCTCAGGGACACGCCGTGTCAGCGCGGTGCGTTACTACGCCCGCTGTGCACGCGTTCTGACGGCGCGGTATGTCAGCGTGGCGTGCCGGCGGCCCGTTTGGTCCGAGCGCGACTGTAATTACCGAAACCCGGCTGTTTCTCGGAATGGGCGACCTTCCGTTAGCGTCCTTGCTGTGTTCACTTTTACTGACCTTCTCGGTTGTTACTTCCCTGCGACTTAGCCGCGCTAATTGATCTATAGTTCGCCTCGATCTGTGTCCTGTTTGTTACTAACGATATCTGCGGCCTATCTGCGCTCCGGCTCCGCCCAGCGTGTGTCTCACGAAGGCTGTCGTTAACACGATATCCGCCGGCCACCGTGTCTGATACATCTGACACCCCGCTGCGTTCCGTCGACAGGCTGCCGGCGCGGCCAGGTCAAGTTCAGCATGCTGGCGCCGGGTACGACCGTGTGGCCGCACACGGGTCCGACCAACTGCCGTCTGCGGCTCCACCTGGGCATCAAAGTGCCGCCCGGCACCGGCATTCGTGTGGCCGGCGAGAAAAGGTACGCAGCCGCTGTCGGCCGCGGTCCGGGGTTTCCAGGACCGGGCCGTGGAGAGGGGGTGGGGTAGGTTAAATCTTGGGTAGGATAGCGTGCGAGCGGTGACCGTGCGCGCCGGACTGCGAGCAGGAGGGGACCGGCCGGCCTGCAGGCTGCACGGGCTGGTTTTTGTTTACCCACACTGCTGACCGCTACTGCTGTGAGATGTAGAGACGCGGATTATAGATGGTGCGGATTGGTGTAGTGTGCGCGGGCGGCATTTTTGCAGGTCAGCTCTGACGTGAGCTGAACGGGCCACTGCGGCCGTGATTCAGAGGACAAAATTGCGCTCCGTTTCGAGCTGGATATATGGTCAGACTCAGGAATGTTCCTGGCAGTCGCTCTGCACTGCCACCGTATCTCTCTGACGACGGTAGCCACGACAGCCCAACAGCGGGCTGGAATTCTGCTGTCGTGCGTTTTTAACAGCATACTTTCCGGCAAATGAATGAAAAACCTATTCAGCTCCCGATGGCGCTTTTGCAAAACCACCCCTGATGAGACCCTTTGATAGTCTGATACTGGAAACATCAATCAATCCCATCAAAAGATTGTCAGCACATCTGCGTAATTTTACTCTCCTCACGATGAGCAGTGAGAAGTCAGTGGCATTGGGTCGTTTGGGGCTGCACCCCGACCTTGGTTCGGGATTAGCCCTCGTGCGCCCCTTTCTCCTACCCTGAGAACAGTGGCCGGCGGTGCAGCCCGTCTCTGTGCAGGGCCTTGGTCCCGCTACCCGGGTTCCTCGGCCGTGTGACACTGACCAGGTGGTCTGCACTCTGCAGCTAATAGCTGCACAGGAACCCTGACCGCCCTGGCAACTAGGTAGCAATAGCATTATCTGCAGTCTTACGGTCCCAATGTCGTATCAACCTGTACCCTTGCCACTGAGTTACCGTCGTTTCTACCGTGTTCCAGGACCTGGGAAGAGGGCAAGGTGCTCATCATTGACGACAGTTTCGAACACGACGTCTGGAACGAGGGCACCGAGTCGCGGTTCGTGCTGATTGTCGACATCTGGCACCCGGAGCTGACCGAGGACGAGCGGCGCACGCTCACCTCCATCTGATCTCTCGGCGGCGGCGCCGACTCCCCAGCAGCTGCCGAGCGCGCCCGCCAGCCGAGGTCGGTGCGGAGAGACTGGACTGGCGCGCGGAGTGACGTGTGTTCGCCGGACGCTGCGCAGTGGCCGCTAAGGACCGATGTGTGACCTATTGTGATTGGATGCGGTGCTACTCTCAACTCAGCTGTGACCCCCCCCCCCCACCCCTCCCCTGTGGCGACCCCTGTGAGCCGGTGATGATCCCTGTGAACCGGTGTGACCGCCGGGCGCGGCGGACCTCTTGCCGGAGTGTTGTAGGTGTTGGATGCTGCCGGTTCGCCAGCCGCGGCAGCCGGCGATGCCTCACGGCTCACTCACTCACTATACAGATTACAGACCGACCTTTTATTATTCGATGACATGGACGAAATACAGGGTGCGCCGACTGAGGCGTCGACGCGACATAGCTTCTCTGGTGTGGCGGGCAGCGCGCGGTCATTGAATACTCTCTGGGTTCCTGCCGACACCCGGCCGCGATATGTGGCGTGTCGCCGCCGGCGTCCCCACCCCGCCCTCCCCGTCTCATCAGCACAACTTGAGCGACACTGGGGCGACCGACCGGCACCGCGGCCGGCCGGCGCCGTTCTCACCAAACGATCGGCGGCCCCCGCCCGTAACAGCACACCAACACACAGACACACACTCGCAGGCACGCGCTCGGTCGCATAGGCACAGCTCACTACCAACACGCTACGCTGCTGTAAATACTCGACACACGCGTCACTCGCTCGCCACCCGCTCGCTCGCCCTCAGCCCCTGGCACCGCGGACCTGGCTACTCAGTACCGCGGCCGGCGGTGGATGATCGGCCGCCACGGGCTCTGGCAGCACGGCTGCCGGCCGTGGGGCCGTGAGCGACCGTAACCCCGCGGTCGGCCGTGAGGCTGCGGCGGGGGACCGTACTCCTGAGAGGGAGGAGGGCCGTACTCCTGGGACGGAGGAGGGCCGTACGACTCCTGGGGCTGGGGCGCTCCGTAAGACTCCTGGAGCTTGGCGGGCGCGCCGTAGGACTCCTGGGGTTTGGGGACTCCGTACTCCTGCTTGGGCGGGGGTCCGTACTCCTGTTTGGGAGGTGTGTACACCTGCTTGGGTACACCGTACTCCTGCTTAGGCGGAGGTCCGTACTCCTGCTTGGGAGGAGGACCGTACTCCTGTTTCGGAGGTGTATACTCCTGCTTAGGCGGGGGTCCATACTCCTGCTTGGGAGGAGGTCCGTACTCCTGCTTGGGCGGCGGTCCGTAGCTCTGTTGCGGCTGGGGCGCGCCATACTCCGCGGACGGCCGCGACTCGCCGAAGCTCTGTCCGTGCACGAGGCTGTGCGGGTCGGTTTTCGATGCGCCGTACTGCGGCGGGGTGGTCTGGTAGCCGTACTGCGGGCGTGGCACGTAGACGGGCGTCTGGTACGACTGCGGCCGGTGCGCCTTGCTCGGCGGTACGACGAACATCACCTGCTGCGGCGACTTGGTGTCATACACCTGCAAACGGAGACGGTCAGCTGGGGCTGGCGGAGGGCGGAGGTTTGGGAGGGCATGAGACTGACTGAGCACAGACAAACTGGCGAAGAGCTGACGAAACACGGCGGAGCGTAATAAACAGTTGGCTCAGTGGGACTGGTCAATGCAGCTGAAATGACACGTTTAAGACACAGTGGAAAACGAACAAGTTTAATAACACAAAAGTCGTTTACGATCACGTTCACTGCTCTTTATTCCGATGAGCGATGGGCGTACGCTTTACTTCGCGTCGTGCGTTCTGACAAGGTTTAGTTTAAAGCGAAGTTGGCGGCGATATCATTTAGCTTACCTGTGGCGTCGAAGAGCTGTGCAGATTCAGCGGTGGTTTACAGGAATTAGTAGACACTGGAAATCTTTTTAACGGGGGGTCACTGCGGCGTTTAGACGTTGAATTAACGGAGTCGGCTCTCACGAGAGCGTAATGCCTCGACAGCCCGTTTAAATGATTGGATTTATTTATGGCCGTTCAACAACGCACAGGGTAGTTGGAGTTTAGGCTTACCATGAAGACGAGTCACTTTATTTTGGCACGGAGTGCCTTTAAAGCAGACGGGAATCCCTTTTACCAACCGATTAACACGCGATTTACTGTCGTATTTATTTACACTATTCACAGATGGGCAAGAGAGAAACGCTTCAGCCACACGGTATTTGTTGTGCCCTGCATATCTCGCCCGTCCCGCTCGCCCCGGCGCCGTCTCTCCACTTCTCTCTGACTCTCTCACACACCTGCAGTAACAACGTGCGCCCGTGGCGACTGCGGACAGGGGTGGGACGCGGCGGGCCGGGGCCGCGCGGTGCGGCGGGCCCCGGCCGAGTCCGCGCCCGCTCCGCCGCGGCGCCGCCGCCCTCAGTTCGCCGTCCGACCCGACACATCGCACACGCACTCGCCCCTCCCCTCCCTCCCATCCCTCCCCCCCGTCCCTCGCGTCCCTCCCTCAGCGCGGCGCTGAGGGACCCGGAGTCCGGCCGGCGGCGGCGGCCGCTGACCGGTCATCGGTGGCTGAGAGCCCTCCCTGAGCGGGCGGACCGGCCGACCGCGGACCGCCGCCGCCGTCCGACTGCGCGCCGCCCGTCCGGGACACGGTGGCACAGGTCGACACTTGTCGGGTCGTGGATCCGTCCGTAGGTCGACCGAAGACGAAAGACGACTGTCTGTCCCCGGTTCCACACCCACCCACCCCAAACATCCGGAAATCCATACGTCCGTCATCGCTCCTCAACAATAAATTATCTCTGTACAGGGTGTTAGTTGGATTTGACACAAAAAGCTCTTCAACATTTTTGGTCTCCCGTCGTGTAGTTTCTCCTGACGATATTGCAACTACCCCCCCCCCCCCCTACCCCCTCAATCGGTCCAAATTTGCTGACATCCCTCCGGAAGTGTAATTTAGTCGGAGTCGGTCGTCCTCTCTCTCCCTGGCAGGTACAGCAGCTGAGCGCCGCCGCGGAGGCTGCGCGCGCGCCGTCCGGCCCGCTCACCAGCCGGGCCCTGTCGGAGGCCATGTGAGGCGCGCCGAGAGGCCGCTCAGGCCCGTCTGAAACACCGGCACACCGGCGGCGGCGCGTCACTGGCTGCCGTCAGGTCGCCCCCGTCCGTCTCTGGGTCCCGTCGCCCGCGCCCAACCGTCACCGCCCAGTTATCGAGGCAGCGCGTGTCTGTGTGTGTGCGTGCTTCTGTCAGTGTGTGTTTTGTGGGGCTGTGTGGAATAACAAATGCAGGAAGCGCTGAAAGTGCTGACTGTGGATTGAGTGTTGGTAACTGATTGAACGTAACATGGGCGGGCCAGAACACATTCAGTGAGGAGTACAAGCAAGAGATGTTGCTTCAAATGGCCGCAACGGTCAATTTCAACATACCGCGGCGTTGTACCTCAATCATTTCGCCGTACAAGGAAAGCTGGGTAGCCGAGGTTTTCGGATAGTTTCCTGCTACCATCTGGCATCCAGTTTACCGTGTACCATTAAAATGATTGATGGCCTTTTACTGTATTCTTAACAGGCGGGACATTGTCCTTCCTGGCCATTACAATGTAAAATCTAAGTAGCAACACCGAAATAACTACTTAGAGACTAACGGCATTCAACAGAGCTATGAGCGTTTGAAAATGACGTGCATCGGTGAAGTAAAGGCCATTATTCCATAGAAATGAAGTGGATGGATGAAAGATTTTGAATGAATTTACATCTACTCTGCTCTAGAAGGAATTTCGACTGCGGTTGTACGTGCCAGTGTCTCCGTGTCCTGTGTCTAATGTCTAGTAGAGGGCTGAGCAGCTTTAGGTCACACACCAGCATTTAAATAGTCGTTATTTACCCGTTCAGTGACGTTTGTAAATCGTCATGCGTACGTGCAGTTTAGGTAGCTCGGTCAGACAGACAGACAGACAGACAAACGGACAGACAGACAGCGGCAGACAGGTTTGTAAAAAAGGCGAGCGATCCCGAAACAGTTGCTTTAGAACCATGCATGGCTGCTCGGTTTAACACTGCGAAGGAGGGCGGCCGGCGGTGAAGTCGGCACAGGGAGCCACAGGAGACCGGTGGCGGGCGGCGTAGCCGGCGTGGCTGCTTAACCTACGGGTCCGATGGCGGGGCCGGGGCCATAGCCGGGCCCGCCCAGATCCTTCCACTTGCTGAGGTCGAGCTGAGGCAGCGCGGCGCACGGCGTGATCGGGTTGCTGGAACAGACACACACCGGGGAGGGTCACGGCCAGGTCACACGACGGCCACTGCGCACCGGCCGGGGCTCGGGTAGCATGGCCTACACTTCTTGGGCTGATCACCAACACAATCAACAAACAGAGGAATTAGACCTAGCCACCTCCACCGGAAGACAGTCGTTAGTGCGGTACTCACATTTCGTGGTCGGGCAGGACCATCACGTAGAGCTGGGCACGCTCAATGTGGTCGCCGTTGGCGCAGATCACGCTGCTCAGCTTGATCTTACGGATCTCATCGATTTGCTCTGCGGAAGTCGGGCAAAATGTCACTGATGTTCTACAGATTACGTGACTACGTCCCATTCCTGGCAGGGTTAGTTAATGTCATGAACCGGGAAGTGCTGGTTTGTGCCTAAATTGTCAAGATGCGGAAGGCCATTTGAGTTGCTATGAGCGCGTCAAGACGGTTCCGCGTCCCAGTCTCATCCCATCATCTCTGTGCAAGTTCTCACCGTGAGTGAAGGAGCTGGGGAAGCCCTGGTTCTCGAACCAGAAACGGTCGCCGAACTTGAGCACGCGGAACTGCTCGGCGATCAGGCAGGCCAGGGTCGGTCCCACCATCGAGCCCGGCAGAGGCTTCTCAGAGATACCGCCCGACCACAGGTCAATGTCGTCCGGGTGCCTGCGGGCAGGGGTCAGGTCAGCTCACCGCGGCTGTGGGAGCGGCTGGGAAAAGAGACGAGCGGCCATTGAATCGAGACCCTTGCCAGAAAAGTCATGTGCATAAGGAAATCCCATGCCCTGGCGACACTACAGAAGCCGCGTCTTGTCTGAGTGTGCGTACTATTCCCGTATCTGTCTGCAAACTCTGACGTTGCATTGTTTCAGAAGTTACTCAAGGTGAGCGGCTTTTTTTAGCGTCTGCGGCCGTTCCCGCGGAGATAACAGCTCTGTTATCTGCGGTCAGTCTGCGCGGCTGCTGATAACCGATCACCGCCCGGCCTTTCACCGGCGACACACTAAGTGCTCGCAGATATACCGCCGTTCTAACAAGGCGATAATATGCACGGACTACAGGAAATGTTCCGCGTCCTTCATCTCTCTATCTGAGTAACAGTTCCTGTCGGAAAAACGGCCAACAAACCAATCGAGCGTGGGCGCTGAAAGTAATTTAGGTTGGTATAAGTAAGCAATAACTGTAATTAAGATACCTGTGTTTTCTAATGAGATAGATGATTGAGTTTCCGCTCAAAATAATCTGAGCATATCTGGATGCCTATGGAGATAATATGGTCATGTGGTGACTAGTTCGACCGCTGCATAGCGCTGTATGAGCGCTGTACGTTTACCTTCTATAAGCTCTCAGCGCGGTCGTTACAATGAGAGGGATAACTAGTTTGAGGGATAGTCTCGTCTGCAGAGGCCCTGCATCGCACATGAGCTCGAAACATAGTCTAATGAGTCAGCGACAGTACAAGCCGGATTCGTCATTTGCAGACGAGCATTCACCACTTTCCATTTCAAGTTCCGTCCACAAATATCGACTAAATGTCCTTGAGGAGATTCCTGCCCTCGGCAAACAATGAAGTTAGCCCTTGAGTGTAGGTGCGGAAAGAACTGTTGAAACTGCAGAGCCCATTACGCAGGCCCTGAGTTGCATCACCGACACGATAACCGTATCGGAGCGATCATCGCTATCGATCGCCGCATCGGCCATCGCCGTGCAATGGGCGCCGTTTTTCGTCATTATTCCGTCGGTGCATGCACGTAACGACCCTCCAGCAGCCATGCATTGGTCTGCTATGAGTTAAGCAAACTGTAACTGAGGTAAAGTCTGGGAGCATGGCGTCATTTTAGCCACCGGGCTCTGGCCGCGCCACTGTGAGAGGTAAGAACAGTCAGTCTGCCGCAGCTGTGGAAGGGAAGAAGTATTATCTTATCGTCACTCACTGGTAGATGTTGCCGTAGCTGGAGGCGGTGCTGTTGGTCATCACGGAGTTCAGCTCGTAGAAGTCGCGGATGCGCGGCAGGCCGCAGTACTCCCGGTAGTCGTTGTAGCCGGGGATGCCGTGCTCGCGGCCTCGCTGCATGTTGATGGCAGCCAGATCCATGCCGAACCGGTGCTCGGGCATTTGGAACAGGTGGTTGGTCACCTGCGGACGGGCCGGGTGGGGGCTCAGTCAGACGGCGTGGCGCCGTGCTGTGCGGCACAGTCTGGCTCCCAGGCGGCCGCTGCCGCCGGCCGCCGCGGCCACTGTCCGACCACAGCGGGACAGTCTACCGTCCAGGCGGTCGGCCGCCGCACCGCGGCCAGTGTGCCACAGCCCGCAGCGAATTTCACAACGGGAAGGGTTCATGGCGCCGCCGGTTGGAGAGGCCTCACTGTGTGTGTAGTACCGCTCACATCCTAATTAGATAAGGATTTCATTACCGTATCCGCAATTAACCCTATCGCGTAATATAGCTCGCGGGCCAGCAGGGTTGGCGCGGCGTTTGAGGGCTGCGGTTGGGAAACATGACTGACGAGCAAATGACGGGGCCACAGAAGAGACGCGAGGGGCCGCCCGGGATAGCAGCAGCACGGGATGACAGAGCCGGTTTGGTGACAAAAGGTCGGCGGTAGTGCCGCCGTAAATAACGCCCGGTGACGGCGCGGCGGCCGCGGTCGGGTCCGGTCGGGGACCTACCTCCTGGCTGACAGCGTCGTCCATGGCCTGGGCCGCCTGGTTCATCAGGCCCATGGTGTACTGGTCGCAGAAGCCGCCCTTGTAGATGTCGTACGGCTGGCGCAGCTGCTGGCTCAGACGGCTCGAGTCTGTCGGACGAAACAGGGGCTCAGTATTTGGGACGGGGTGCATATTTCAGCTGCCTCTTGCCCCGCGTTGGCCAGACGTTCCCCTAGCGCCGGAGAGTGTCTTCATACGGGGCAAGTCTGCCCGCCGGATCTCCATTCATTCCGGCACGTCCGAACGAGACGGTTGCGTCAATATATAATGGGGCGGACATTACAGCGCCGGACGCTACAATTCCCCGAGACGCCGAGTAATGGGGCATGGAACGGTAATGGAGCGTGGGACGCGGCCCTGTTTAACCCTTGAGCCCTCCGGACACGGTCCCCAGCAGATGGCCGGCCGTTCTGAGCACCATCACCGCCGGGGCGTATTGCACATCGCACACCGGGGCGTTACACAACGCCGTGTAACGAGCGTGTGCCGACAGCGGCGCCTCAATTCAGGTGGCCACTCGTGGTCAGCTGCAACACAAGCGGAACACTGCTCGGGACAATCGCAGCAGCCCGAGGTCCATTGTGGCGCTAATGGCGAGCTCTTACACCTGTCAGTCGCCGGTGGTATCGGACAGAGTGCGGCTCGGCGGTCCACCGGGGAGAGAGAGGGACGTTCTATGGGGATCCACTGAGTGCGGTCTGCCCCGGAATATAAATATGCGATTCGGTGGCCCGGGAAAGGAGAGAGGGCGATGGAGACAGTCTGTCATGGCTCCCTGTCCGCTGTCCGTCCCAATACATAAATACAGCGGCTCAGTAACCGGTTGTGAGGGAGGCAGCTCGGCCCCAGGGCGGTCACTTTCTTCACCGGCAGCGCTGGGGAGCGGCGGGCGCGGGCTGCCGCCGCACGCGCCCGGCGCCGCGCCTATTCAGCACTATCTCCGGCGTCAGACCTCCTGGGGTTAGCCACGTCAGCAGCGCAGACCCCCTCCCTCGCTCCGACCGGTCACCCTTCCTCCCGGACCAAATCGGCGGCGAAAGGGCGAGCTGGCCGCACAGCCGTGACTCTGCACCGTGCACCGGGCGGGCTGTGTTGTGACAGGCGCCGGCCGCCCCTGGATCGCCCTCTGCCCTCTCTCTGACGGCCCGACATAGTCCACAGCCCCCAGCCTTCCTATCAGCCCAGCACAGCCCGCAGTCCCAGCCTTTGGCGGCCCAGTATAGCGGTACTCACCGATGTATTTGCCAGTAACGGACCAGCGCTCAATGGTGGACGGCAGCAGTGAGTGACCGAAACGGAAGGCGGCCGAGGCGAACGCGTTCGACGCGCTGGCGTCCACGGTCGGGTCGTACTTGTGGTTGTAGCCGCCCTGTGGGAGGGAGCAGGGGTCAGCGGGTGGGGTTGAGGTGACGGTGGGTGTAACAGACGGTACGGTGATTGTCAGAAGCAGGTGTGAAGGAGAAATTACTACGGTGGAGAGTGACTGAGCAGCGGACGTGAGCTATCAGGGAATTAATGAGGGGTAACTGTGAACTAGTGTGAACATGTGTAAGTTTCTCTTACACTCCCTAAACGCTTGTTCACAATTTCTTAATTTCTTACGATCTTTCGCACACGCCCAAACACTTGTTCTGACTCATTTCGTCACCTTCCGAGATTTAACATAAGTACGGTGTCTAACATCTTCGCTAATAAAATTAATCTTCTGATAAGCCGGAAAGTCGTTGATATGGTCTGCACAGTCGCGTTTCGTCTGCACCGTAATCCTAGTGAGGGGCGGGCGATGCACTCGTGTGAGGACTGCATTCCACTCCCTCTCTGCACGCTATCACCGGATCGTTGTCTCCAGGCGGGCTGGTATCACCAGCCGTCGCTGCCCTACTACGGTCACTCTTTCCGTGCTCCGCAGATTCACTTTCGGCTTTACGAGCCGGCGCAAACCGTTAACCGGCCATCACGGAGAACCGTCATCAGATGTGACATCTGAGATAAGACTGGTCCCAGTAGGGGTTCTATGGAGACACCGAGAGCCATCAAAGCGTACATTTCGTCTGTCACCGAGTGATACCGACGAGTGACACCGACTGTCACCAGACGTCATTAATTGTCACAAACCGTCACTATCCGCCATCGAGCGTCTCCACGCTCCGAGGGCCGTCACTGCGCCGCGTCACTGGGACCACATTGTGCAACTCTGCCGCACCATTTCCGCGAGTGCCGAGCTCTCGGCGGCGGTCAGACGCGGCGGCGGTCAGCGTTCGGCCGCCTGTTACATCAGCGCCCGTCCCGACCGGCCGCCGACGGAGCACAAACGACCTCCGCTCCGAGAGGCGTCCGATCGCACCGCCGGGCACAAAGGAGGGCCACCACTCGACGGCGCCGGTGAAATGGGCCGCCGAGATGTTTGAAGAAAGTCGCATCAGGTCGCGCCGGTGGTCGGCGAATCGCGCCCGTCTCGGCCGGTGGCGCAACGGTGCACGGTGTTTGAGGGAGGGAGGGAGGCCGGCGCTGAGCTACGACACTGCTGGCAGAGTTATGGCCGGTCCAGAGCAGAGTTACTGCCGGCCGTAAGTCCAAACCGTCACCCTGGAGATTTCAGCAGCGGATGATTCAACTATGCCGTGTATGACTCGACTCGACTGAACGGTGGGGGAGAGGCAACGCTTCACGGTCCGACCACACCTCTGCTCAACCGTTACCCCACTGCACAATGCATAAATCAGCATGATTACTAATTTTGAATGCCTATTAAATTACAGATGATAGAGTGGGTTTTAATGAATCCGAGTGTGTAAACAGGTGACATGTATGGATGCAATATGTAAATAGACATACTTTCTTGTGCAATTCCGTCCTAGTATTTCATTGAATATTTATTGCTATTGCACCGTGTCATGAGCAGTGAGTTGTAGTGGGCGAGAATGTTGAGCAAGTGCAGAGTACCGAGTACCGAGTATCTAGAACTGACCTTATCCAGGACCATGCCGTTTTTGGACATGACCTCCTTTCCGAGCACCATGGGCAGGAACTCGTTGTAGGTGACCTGCTGCACCAGGGCGCCGACGATCAGGCGCGTCTCCTGCGGAACGACAGAAATACACCGTCAGAAAAAAAAAACAGACATACAACCACACACAGGCCAAAGCAGACATCATCGGTATCAAACGTCGACCCGACCCGCTCTGTCGTCCCTGAGAACGCACCTGGTAAATGGTCTCGTCGTCCCAGTGCGGGTTGATGTGCGCCAGCTGGTAGGCGATGCGATTGTGCTCGCGCACGAACATGGTCTGCGTGATGGCCAGAACCAGCTGCTCGTTGACACGGCCATCGCCTGAGGCAAACACAGGGGCAAGGTGAGAAGTGGAGAATAAAACGACGAATTAGTAAAGCCATGAACCATAACAAAGCAACAAAATCGAAAATATATGCTTAAAGACTGTGTCGGAAAATCCGTATGGTTAAATTCACGCACGATCCATGCCGGGAAATATCTATTGTTTTGCAATAATTAACTGTAGAGTGTAGATGACAGGTTTCAACCAACAAAATGCATTGGTTAACTGCTTGACTTCTGCAGCCCGGCAGGGAGCATGGAGCAGCCAACAATAGCCAACAATGCTGCATTGCTGCCGCAGCTGCACCGTTACATCATCCCCATCGACACAGCTCGAACTTTACTGTCCCGGACGTCGAACACTCACCAGCATCGAAGCAGAAGATGTCCTTGGAGGGTCGGATGCAGCCCTCATCGGGCGCGTGCAGGTTGGGCGGCAGCAGGTCCTTGAGGCCGAACTCGCGGAACACGGGCAGCGTCTTCAGCAGGCCGCCCTGGTAGGAGCGCATGCGGCGGGCGGTCTTCTCGTCCGAGCCGTACACGAAGGAGGCATCGATGTAGGAGCTGACCGTGTTGATGGGGTCACGGGGTCCTGCGGGGGAAAGGGGAGAGGTCACCGTCACACAAGGAGCGTCTCTGTCTGTCACCCGTGCCCGGGAGACACAGAGACGCTATAAGTGGCTGTTCGGTGTTGCGTAATTGTTGGTTTCCTACATGCTAAACACGCTTAGAGAATGAATGATAAATGGCCTCCAATGGTGAGCTGAAGGATACCCTCGCATCAGCCTCGCGACATTGGTAGATGTTACACAATAACTCACAAAACCAGTATTCATTCATTTTTCTGTCATTTACATATTTGACCACTCCGAAATAGCCTGAATGTGATCGCGGCCAAACTGAGATGTGTTATACCGCATCGACATGCATACATTTCCCTGCGATTACCATATTCGTATTTACGAATGCAAAACGGACGCGTGCCACCAGTCTTATCGCTCAGAGCTGTGAGATACGACCGCGTGAACGCATGCGGTCGCTCCTGTCAGAATGGAGCCGACAGAAAGACTCCCGACAGTAGTGCCGGGAGATGGAGCGATGTTTGTTTTATTACGAATAAAGATCTGACCCCGCGGGGGCGGTGGTGGTCGATGCAATTCCCATCGAGCGCTCCCATGACTGAGGAGAGGGGTGGGACCTGCTCGGAACGGTGATTCATACTGAAAGGGCGCGGCACTACGCTCGATTAGCTGATTCATTCCAGACGGTATGACTGGCACGATGGAGAGATTTTATACATTTGTGTGATGAAAATCAGCTAGCCCACTTATGACGCAAATATGAGGCCGACTGAAAGCCATTCCTTTGGAAGGGCCCGAGATACCTAGGGAAGCGACAATTTGGTCCCGCATTACGCACTAAAGTCGCACATATGCTACTCATGCAGTTAGTCCCATTCAATTGCAAATCGAACCGTATCCTAAATTTAATTTAAGCAGCTGTGTGAACCGCTCATTTTTGTCGCTGTCCATGACAAAGGGTCCTGGGCATAACCGGTTTTCAGATCGACGGTAGCTGACCAGGAATTTACCTAATCACGAAAGAAAACGTGCGAGAATACGTGACAATACGCGGAAACATGCATACCGTTTCACTTTTCGTGTCATAAAATAAAAGTGAACGATTCGATTTAACCGGGAGCATAACCGCTAAATACCGCGACTACCGTGTACCCCAGGAGCGTTAACGAGAGGCCTCTTTAGGACCACGGTGGACGGTGATGTAACCGTCATGAACCGACCTCCCAGCCAGACAAGGTCAGACCCCGGATCACGTCGACACAGGGCGCCGCCGGGATTCCAAGTCAGATCGGCGGGGTACTGGTGGGATAACCAACCGTTTTCCTATTTAGTTGTACGGGGGAGGGCTTACCGTGCCGTACCCCATGACCTGGCTGCGACGTCCAGACTGCTGGTACCGGGGTGGGGATAAATCAGGATATTGCGCGGATAAACCAAGGTGTTTTGGATATCATGCAGTCTGCTGAGATGGATGGGCTCCGTTCGACAGAGGCGTAACTGAGCCGACTCAGCCGTCATCTGACGGTCTATTTACGAGAGGACCGTGCTCTAATTATCTGTCTGGCGGCAGGCACGGGCCGTGACCCCGCTCACAGCTGCATACTGATCAGGTCATGAGGAGGCCGACCGATGTAATTAACGGCCTCGCCGCACCGCGCAGGTGCCGGGCTTTGTTCCGAGCTGATCAAATCGCAGGGTGCGCTGATTTGATCGGGGTCCGCCCGCGCCTGAGGCGGTCGTCGGCCGCCGGTCCTAAATTCTAGAGCAAGGTCGGCGTGTGACCTCCGGCGAGTCACCTGGCTGTCCATGCCGGTAGGATATCGGAGACGTCACATTGACGAGACAGGGTGGGACAATAGGAATCACCGGACAAGATATGACAGGACCGAACAGGACAGGCAGCAGGACAGCACCGGACAGGACAGGATCAGCTGGTTTTGCACGCTGCACTGGCGGCTTCCACGCCTGCCCCATGCGCCATGCACTGTGTACAATGCACACCTCAGCAGCGCGCGGCGCCGACCGCGCCCGTCGGCTGCCGTGACGGGTCACGGACGTGACAGAGCCGTGACGGCGCGCGCAGAGCCCCAGTTGTGTGACGGTCACGCGGCGGGAAAGTTGGGCCCCGGCGCCGCCCGCTGCAAGCTGGGACACACGCCTGTCACGAGCGGCCGGCCGCAGCCCCCCCCCCCCCCCCCCCGAGAGACATGTTCGGGCGCCGTGGGACAGCGGGTAGAGTGGGAAAAGGCAGAGATAGGGAGAAATGAAATGATCGGCATGTCCGACTGAGACTGATCCGAGTCAGCCGAATATTTCACAGCCCGTAAATCTCAGTAAGCTGAGTGTTACGTTCCGCGCTGCGATCTGTGACATAAGAAGCGGTGCGTCCGCTTGGTAGAGTGATGTAACCCAGGACCACTCATCCGACCAATCCAGTGGCCCGACCGGAGTCGTAACCTGCTCGGCGCGGCCGGCCCGGTCGCCTCAGAGCCGGTTGGAGGCCGGAGAGGCTGAAAGGTGTTCGCCACCGCACGACGTAACAGCCGCTTGGACTGGGAGGGTCGAAGATACCCCGGGTTACCGATGGGGTAATGACTTATACAGCGAATTGGCGCTAACCTGATGATGTGACTCAACCTTACCTGATGGGCGACTCTGACCCTGTGGGACCTCATGAGTCATATGGCATCACTAGCCCCACGTAGTCTGTGTCACTCTCAATCACCTAAATGATACTCATGTGGTGCCCAAACCAATTATGACCTTCACGCCTCTTCACTCTACCATTCCAACGCAACTAACCCCACAACCACCTTATATCCCACCAGGCCCCGAGGCCCACTCACCGAGTTTGCACTTGTGGTGCACGCCGGGCAGCGAGCGGATCACGTTCATGCACTTTTGTCCGTAGAGTCCGTAGAACTCGTCGTCGGCCGGGATCTCGATCGGGAAGCACTGAGGGTTGTCGGCGTGACGCGGGTCGTTACAGCAGTCGGGCATCTTGGGCCGGCCGTTGCGGTCTGTGAACGAGACAGGGGGTAAATACAGGAGCGGGGGCACTACATACACGGGGCTCATAGCACGGAAGCGCTCGGACGAGTGAGAAGTGAGACAAAAGAGGCTAATGCAGGAAATGAGGCTGTTGAACATACTACGCACTGGAAAACGTATGAGTACGGATGAGTTATCAGATAACAAGCCTTTACGTTTTTGTATGTTTGAAACAAACGGCTATGCATAAAGACGGCATTACATTTACATTTATGTATTTGCTACGTGTGACCACTACCGTCCGCTTGTTTTGGAGGATTATGTCTGCAATATGCCCCGTTTTTATGTAATTATTGGTGTGGTAAACACCGGTACTAGCTGAGACACTAATCCCCCAAACTGTCAGAGGCTTTCACAACAGCTCATTTGAGGCCTCCAAGGTATACGTGACCCAAGCACACAAACACACATACAGACAGACAGACAGACAGACAGACAGACAGACAGACAGCTTGTCGCCGGCGGCGCTGAGCCCCTGGTTCGATCTGAGAAGCAAACTATGACACCGTGACCCCGTCTCACCCCGTCTGGTGACCTGACCCCGGCGGCGTCACCTTGACCGCGCCGCACCACAATTCTCACGTCATTTGTGACGGGAAAATAATCATTCCGCAGACACGCCGAGCGGTCTACGCCGGGTCTATTTTGAGGTCGCTCGTAAGTCATATGATCATTGCTCCGCGCGGTTTAGTTCGCATCATTACGGCGCACCCTAATATGTCGTTTGAGAATGAAACGATGACTGATTCTGGGAGCTTTGTCATTCATGGTTTTCCGAGTAAGGGATGATATGCGGTTGCGCTATTTTGAAAGAGTGGCTGTGTCAGCCTTGATGAGCAGCTAAATTAAGCGGCATGAGCAATCCGCTGTCATCTTCGTTCACCATTTTCAATTATCAACAATCCCATCTCTAGCCAAAGAGCTTATCTCATCCCGAACGATACGTTCACCCCGGCCGCTTCCACCCCTCGGTTACAGCCTGGATGACCCGGCGGCCTCATCAGTACGGCACAGCGACCTGGCCCGCCGCCGGGCACAGTCTCATTCCAGTCGGCAGAGCGACACGCGCAAAAACTGACCGCGCTACGGCCATGTGAGCGCCGCTGCCGAAAAACTCACCGTCGTCGACCGGTGCGACTTTTACCCCGCGTGCCGGGCGGCGCGTCCCGGCGCGGCGGCGGCATGCCACCGGCCGACCTTGTCTCCGAGATCGACCGCCGCACCAGCCGCCGAAAGTGAAAGCCCTCAGAGCGGTGCGGCGCGGATGACCGACTGCTCTAGTGCTACAGATCGCCGCCGGCCGTCGCTGTGAGCCGCCGACGGTCGGCGCCCGAGGGCACTGCTCGGACATACCGCAACGCGGCCAGCAAAAACCGGAAACGGCCGCGCCGGCCATCAGCGCGGCCGGCATCCTCTCTGTGGCGCAACGGGCCGCGTGCGTCCAACGGTAAATAGCCGGGCATATCTGATATCTGGCCCAGATCTATATTGCTCACCGTGAGCGGTCGTTTTCGGACCGATCGCCGGTGTTGGTTCATACAGCCAATCACGAACTGAACTGCACTGGGGAGTGTGCCGAGCTCCGGCCGTCGTGACCTCTGAGGCCCATTGTCAGACGGTCTACGTCCGCTCTGCAGCCGTCATAAAAGGGGCGTCGCCGCTGAACAAAGAATTTAGTCTGACGAGGCCCTCATTCGGTCGGGGAGAGGTGGCGCAGTACCGATACAGGTGGGGCTGCTCCGGTGCTTTGTAGTGCTTTAAACTAAGGTCGCGCTCGTGTTCAGCCGCGCCCGAATTGAGCAATACAAAGACCAACAATTTGACGGCCTTAGCAAACGTTATGCGAACACTAACTTTTTATGAACGCTGCGACGAATTGTAATGGTCGTTAACGATCGTTTGAGTTAAATCCTAAAAATATCGTTTGATAGCTCATTCTGCAGCAGTTCTGTAGGCTTAGAAATTAAATAGGAATTAAACTGCAGGTCCCCCATTGTTCGCCTCTCCTTACTCGCTGTCGCTGCCGCTGAGACTGTCAAATTCCGAGAAACGTGACACACCACAGGACCGCTAACACGCTGTCCAATATAGCCGGTTCAAACCGCTACCGCGCGCTGTCATCAGAACCGGTCGGGCGTAGCCATATCGAGAACGACCTCCGCCCACCAATTGTGCGCTCTATTGACGGCGCATGTTGGCCGCTCCACCACCTACCAAACGCCACGTATCGGTCGGCCGGACAGTGCGCGTGCCCCGGCAGCGTGCCCCCGGCAGCGCCTGTTGTCCGGCACAGCGCGGCCGGCGCCCTGCGCTCAGCGGGGGCGGGCCGGCGCGGGTCAAACGGTAGCCGAGTGCGTGAGGAGCAGACACGCGATCCGAGCTTGGTCAGACTGGCTGTGCGGCTCTCTCCCAGACTGTCCAACGCGCTCAGGTAAATCACCAGAGAGATTTTGGCGCAAATTTTACCAGCGCCGCGACCGGTCGACAAAATGGACGGGGGTCGGAACATTGTTTCACGTCATGAGCAGTGCACTCTGGCCTGCCCGCCATATCACCAGATATAATTGTGGCAGCGCGGTGGTGGTGACAGCGGCGGCGGCGGCGGCGCGGAACCGGCACCGTTTCACACAGTGCACGTGCGGCTGGGCGCGGTCCGAGGGTCTCCAGTACACCGGCTGGCCGGTCTGGGTCGCGGAGTGAGCGGAACGGCACTGCAACTGGCCGCCGAGCTGTCGAAACGGTGTCAGTCACCAGCATCTGGGTCGTCCTGGATAGACAGGAGGCACCGCTGGAGCGCTGAACTGGACGGGTGAAGGCGGTCTATGATAATAAAGGTGTTTGGAAACAGGCCGATCAGGGGTCACAAAAGCCGAGACCCCGGGACGGCTGTCTACTGACGAGCATTTCACCCGTCTGAGCGAAGAAGGGAAACTACGGCATTCAATAGAAGTGGACGTGGATTCAGTAATCTGTCAGACACTCCCGCCGTAAAAAAGGGCCGCAAAAACGCGGAGATGTTCATTGTCATTCGACATGAGCAGCTCATGGAGTAGCTCAAAGCCAAAAATAATGGACCGAAACGGTCAAGGCCGCTTTAGAGTCGGCCTTCAGAAAATTTATCGGACCGTTCACAGGCCAATCGTGTATGGTGTCCGCTTAAATTGGAAACGGCGCCGTTAACTTTTATCGACTTTTAACTACCGAACATTTAATCTTAGTCGCTGGTGCTTAAAAGGCACCGCAATATTTCGACCTGCGATAAACTGGTATTGACGACCTTACAAACGAGCCGGTCAACTTGTAAACAAGCTGAGTACCGCCCGACCTAATGGAATGGTTTGTAACCGTCTCCGGCCGACTATCGATGGCTCAGAGAGTGAGCCGGGTCCATCACACGGGCATCGCTCCGTCTGGGCACTGGAAGGTCGCTGCGGCTCCAGGTCATCAATCCCGGCTCCTTGTCCGACGCACCCCGTGCCGACAGCTCACCATCACTCACCACCGATAGAGCCATCAGTTGCCCGCGCCCTGCAGGTGTCGGTCGCGACTCGAGCCGTCCTCCCTCCCCCACTCCGCAAACGAGCTCACCAAACGAGCCTCTACCCCAGCTCTGTCAGTCCTGCCCTCTCGGCCCGCCGCCGCTGGGGACTGACCTTTCTCCTCGGGCTTCATCTCTCCAGTGAAGGTGATGTCGTGGTCGATGACCTGACCCCACGAGACGAGGAACATGGTGACGGCGTGGTCGTGGTGGCCCAGGTCCTTGTGCAGGTGGGCGGAGACGTGACGCGGGCTCGGCAGAGGGTAGCCAGCGGAGCCGGCGCGGGGAGCGTTCACACCTGGCGGGGACAGAGACGGACGGTCAGAGGCGCTCCAGGCCCGCGGAACGGGCAGCCCGCCGGAACCGCAGCCGGAACCGACCGGAACGGGGCGTGAGCATGATTAATTCGTCGAGCCGGCCCAGCTCCGATGAAAGTTACACGCCGTTCCCACCCCGACAAGGAAAATGGCTGCTTGAGTAATCTATCCGCTAAACTTTCAATAACCCGCTGTGCAGATTTAGCCCAGATAATGCTAACTAACACGACTTGCAAACGATTATCTTCTCTTCTGCTTAGCCTCGCCTTTACGTTGCAGGTATACCAGCCAATCAAGATTTGCCATTTAAGACTGTAAGTGTCGACAGACGACAGCCGTCGATTACGATGTCCGATTAAGCAGTGACAGTGTCTGTCCGAAGGTCCATTAACATTTGACCGCTCCGTCGTGTCCCCGAACTCACCGTCAGCGTAGTTGGGAGCCAACAGGCGGCGGAACGTGTTGCGCGCCGAGCCCCAGTGCGGGAACTCGAGGTTGTTGCACATGCCGTTGATGGTGCGGTAGCGGGTGACCTCGCAGCGGTCGTAGCCGTTCAGGAACGCCGGGCAGTACGGGCCGATGATGGTCTTGCTGGTATCGATGAGTGGGAGGCCGGAGGCGATGGCATCCTTGGGCAGGTTGTACCTGGTAGGACAAGTGGGGTTACAATGGCTGGCATTGGAAGGAACCTTTCCGAGCAGTCACCACCGTGCTATGACAGGTCCAAAGCTCGATATGAGTTATCCCACGAACTCCATCCCTATAACCGCTACAGTAACACGATCATGGGGTTCGCTCAGTCAACCGTCCCGCGAGTTCACACACAAACTCGGCGAGTCGACTTTTACAGTCACTCCGGGCACTTGTGCAACGCCGTCGAAACGTCCTATCACTGTGAACCAACCCGTGCAGGAGAGCTAACGACCCACAATACCTACATGACGAGATTTACGGGACGAACTCACGTTTGTCGTGACCAAAACAGCCCGAGATTAGAACAGACCGGATGATTTTGAGCGAGCTGACGGCGGCCAGGGATGCTTCTCGACAGCACCGGTATATTTATAGTTCGAGTTTGACAATTTAAAACTAATGACGCACGTCTCGCAGCGAAATATGACAGTCATGGCGAACAAATGTCACAAAGAGAGCTACCTGCGTGCTTTGATCTATTCACTCTCTTTTCACAAGGCGCGCTGCAGCATTAATGAGGCAGAAGTGCGCAAGATTTAATCTGCCTGATCTTACATTGACGCAATGCCGGTTTCGCTCCTCCAATGACACGAAACATTTGACAAAGACCCAGATATGACCTAGACATATCAGTATGAAATTTCAGGACTAGTCCCAGCGACATTCAGAGTTTCACTTCCCGTCGAATTTATGCAACCTGTTAGATCAAATCGCCACTTCGTTTGGCCCATGCGTCCAGTCACGCTCTGAAATTGGACGTTTAGCAACCGATCGTAAAGCCTCTCTCACTTTCCACGCGGCATGCGTAGATAGGTGACACAGCTTTTGTCGGCTCCGTTAAATTGATATCCGCTTACAGCTCCGCTCTACTACACGTCTTTCCCAGAGGGCAGCGCCCCCCCCCCCCCCCCCCACAGACACACATTACGTCACATCACTATCGGTACTCGGTACTCACATTCTGGCGATGTACTCGGCGACGAAGGTGAGCGCCATGCCGAGCCGGCCGACGTCCTCAACCTCGACCTCGTGCAGCTTCGGGCGCAGACCGTACATCTGGGTGGCCTTGTCGAACGCCGCGTTGATGGCGTCGAACGAGATGCATGTGTCCTTACCGGAGTAACCGGGCGCGGCGGAGCTGTGAGACGGAGGGAGGGTGGTTAGTAATAATGTGAGACAAGCGGAAAGGGTTGATTGAAAAGAGAAGAATGTGGCGAATTTCGTCTGCAAGGAGCATTCAAACGAGCAGAGTGTAAAGATGATGGGAGAAAGGTGGCACAACCATAACATCTGCACATGCTAATTGTGTAGTGAGTAGACGTCTTTAGTCGTCGTCTCGTAATGCCGATGGGGGCGGGCGTCAATGGGGCCCGTTGTGATGGGGTCAGAGGTGGGTCGGGGCGGCTCACACCGGTGAATCCCCGTGCCTCGGGCGCCGGCCGGCCGGTGAGCGGACCGGTTACCTCCCCTCTCTCTCGGGACGCGGCCCAGCATGAGCGGAGCAGTGTTGGCCAACTGGGAGACCTCCCGCGGACACTGGCGATGACCGCAACCGCAGCCGACACCAAATAGCCACCGCGCCGCTCCAAACGCAGTCATTAGTGAAGTTTGCGCAAAACACGGCGAATAAAATTAAACGCAAACACGCCAACCGGTGATAGAACACCGGGAAGGGAGACCATCAGAGGTGATTAGTTGAAATTAATCACCGAGCTGGTACAGCCCACCCTGGAACCGTACAAGGCACTGGACGAAGAGGGTGATGTTAGATGTCCCAGTCGGTACTCACTGAGGTCCGGCGAACACGTTGAGCGCATGGTCGAAGGCGGCCGAGTGTCCCGGCCCGGGGATGATGAGTGCACACGCGTCTCCGTGAGGTCCGGGGGTGGGTCCCGGCACCGGCACGGGGCCCGGCCCCGTCACTTGGCGCGCAAACGGCGGCACGAACCCGTCGCCCGCCGAGTGGACCACGCTGCAACAGAGGGGACACAGGGGGTGAGCGAAACGGAACAGGCACACACACGGCAAATGGCTGCGCTTGTTATACATAGAAGGTCGTAAAACATCGCGAACCGTTGGCAGAAAGCCGAAGGCAGCGCAGTCATTTCATGCTGACAACAGCGCGTAACTTTGTATTGATGAAAGCACCGCCAACGGAAATGCCAGCAATTTGTCCATAGTAAACATACCTGAAACGCTTCGCAGCATTCCTGTTTTTTTATGCAACGAAAAGACATAATACACCCCCGCCAGCGCCACGCGTAAAAAAAAGTAGTGCCTCAAGCGACGGGGCCTCGACATAAATCATCTGCAAACTGCATGGCCGTTTTCTTACTGGACGTGTTACAAAGCAATGATATAATCGGTAATATTTGAAGTGGTGTTCCTTTTGTAGCTCTCAGCGGTACCAGTGGCAAAACACCAACAACGCTGAGCCATTTGCCGCATTCAGTGCCCCGTTTCCTAGCCATTGTTAGACCGTTAGGGGGACAGAAACTGATTTATTTTTCTTTCTCTGGCAGCGCTGCACGCGGCGGTCGCCGGTCTGCTTGCAGGTTTGGCGGCCCGGAGATCCCAATGTCACGCCGTTCTCTGGGGACACGTCTCAGACCGTGTGCACGCCCACCGCCGCGCAGGCACCCGTTTTCCCGGATTGATCGGGAGCCAGATCGGGCCGGCACTGTCGACGGTCCGCAGCTCGGCTACCACAGTTTGACGCACGGTGGGTTCACTTGAATCTGATGACATTTATGGAGCACATTTATTCCTCCTTTTTGACGCACGGAATGATATCCCAAGATGATAAGTAACTGGCAAATATCCCCGTATGGGTTTCGCATTCCTTTTGTCGCAACGCCCACATTCCCGAACAATACGCGTGTCACCGTCTGATCGTCACGCGAGCGGCGTGCGCGCAATAACGTCACACGCCGCGACCTCTTACCTGGAGCTGTATGTGTTGAAGGAGCCGATGCTGGCGTTGGCCGAGGCGGCCAACAGCCCCAGAACGAGTATTGAAATCCTGCAAAACAGGGGGAGGAGGTGTCACAAGAGTGGGCCGGCCGCAAACAGCGCCCGCGCGCCGGCTGCACCATGGGAGAACCACGAGACGGCCGCGCTGATATGGCCCGCAGAGGAAAACGAACACGACCGTTCCAGCGCGCCAAGGTCCTGGGAAGGCACCTCGTGATCTGTCACATACATTCAAGGCTGTTTACCACATGCTGGCCGTTCAGATAATTCCCATGACATTCAGGCACAAGATCACCGAGGTTACCACTACATGCTCTCTTTTATCTTCGTTAAATGCTTTTTGATAGCATATAATGAAGGCTGGTGAACTGCATAGCGGATGACAGCAAATTTGATTTGTTCGCCATACTATTGCACGTACCAAATGCACATCAACCTCACACACATCAGTGTGTTAATTGCTACCATAGACATGCAAGCTTCCATGTAACCACTGAATGCTCATGTCATTCAGCATCGATCGGCGTAATAGCCGTTGTGTAAAAGTGCCGCGGGGCCTGGAACGTGACAGTGCCAGGCGACTTTAATGGTTTCGGGCGTGTGGTGTAGGGGTGCGAATGGGCCGACACCAGCCATCATTGTTTAAATTACTCCAAATTGCCGTCACGCCCCGCCAGAGAGAACTGATCGACTTAGCGCGTGTCGCCAAACGCGGCAGATCGTGACATCATGACCGCACGCGCCTTGCGACATATCTTTTCTGAGTTTGGAGCAGTCACGTCCGGCTATCGTGGGAGAGGTGAGGGAGCGATGGTCGCCAGAAAGAGTCGGGGAAAGTGTCCGGTGGCCAGCCGACCATACAGAGACTGATTCTGGCGGCCTCTCCGGGTGATGCAGCACTTCTGTCGTCTGGCGCAGCTGCAGAGCGGGCGGTGACGAGACGCGGCTGCCACTGCTCCCTGCCGGCGGCAGACGGCCCGCGCGCCGGCGGTGCTCGCGGAGCGTCACACCAGACCGGGTGCCGCTCACCACTTTCCCGCGACGCGGCCCGGCAGTGCGCGAACTCGGCTAGACAGAGGGGCCACCGAGTGCCTCAATAGAGTAAAACTACTGGTTGGCCCTGTTTGTAGGGAGATCCTGTCCCACCACAGTCGCGCCGGACCACTCACACCTAGACCAATTTTACTGCCCGAGATAGCCCGCGGTGGCCACTGTGCCTGCCCCAATCCCCACCCCCGTCAACCGCAAGGCACCGTTCTTTACCGCAGCTCGCCACGATGCCTTGGAAATGGGATCAAGGCTGCAGCAATTGCTCGGCATTGTTGCTCGCTGATTGCCCGCAGAGGCGCGAACGGCGCGGCGCGTCCCTGCTTCCTCCCAGTGCGAGGCCATAACGACCGATAGACTGGGTATAGGGCGGCGCTCCGGGGTGCTCAGGGCAGTGAGAGATGGTGACGTGAACTCGGGAGTGGCGCGGAGGGGAGGGCGAAATGACGGCGGGTGGTCGGTGCAGATCGCAGCCTCCATGGTCACTCGGGGCCACGGATGATCGGCGCAGCGGCTTGCGACCTTGCGCTGAGAGACGGGACTGGGTCATGACCACGCCCTGGCAGACCGACCACCAGAGGACGGCGGTCGGGCGGCGCCGCTCTATCACGGCAGCTGCTGCGGAACGGGGCCCGAACCTCTCACAGCCCCCGGCCCAGTCTCCCCTCTCTACGGACACCCTGTTTAGTGCCCGACACCTATGATCAGCGGCACGACATCGATCTCGCCACCGGCCCGTATGACAGCGGGCCCGCCTGACGGAGAAAATTAGCACGGTCGGAGCGGCGCGCGGCCGTTGGCGGTGCCGTGTCCTTGGGTGACGGAACGGTCCCCAGTCTCACGGCCGGCACTCAAGCGCGCGCGCGCCGGCCACGCCCGCGGCCATTAGCCGAACCACGGCGGCACTGACCGCGGCCGTCTTATCGGATCGCGACAGCGCCCGCGCCGCGCCGCCGCCACCGGATTTTGGACCAATTTCCTCAACGGCTGCCAGAACCCTGTGCCAAACAGCCAAGTATCACACGATTTGCAGATATCGGTCCTGAATGAGTGATTTAATCTCTTATTTGCAGATTTTTACACCTTCTGCATGTCAACAGGATTACTGTTGACAAGTTCACCTTAGGAACAGAATGTCAGAAGTGGAAGACAAACAATAACATATCCCCGGAAACGTCTTTCCAATATGTTGATCTGATTTCGAAGACACGTTGAACACAAACTTAACAGATATGTGTACAAGATAGGCGATTTTTCCTGTGCTTAGTACTTACTACTGTGCGCTACTGTTTCAAAGTCAACGTCTGTCAGGGCGATGCCGCTTTTTTTGTCGTCTGTGTAGGACAGATCGCATGGCTCAGCGCCGCCTTACTAGGTCGTATTAACACCCTCAAAGCGCCACACGCCCGTAACGAACTATAATTACCCGAAAACTGTTCGGGTAATTAGTTCGTTACGGGCTGCCACGGGCCATCCTGTCTACAGAGGGGATGGTCGGCAGTTGGTCACGCTGAGCTGAGCTCCGATGATGCTCAGAGGTCCCTACACACCGGTCACTGGTCACCGACCGCGGCAGAGGGTGAAAACTGTTTGAATGGACCGCTCCGGCCGACTGAACACGCTCCTACACACCGGGGTGAGAGGGTGAAGAGGAGGAAAGCGGCCACTCAGCCGCGGCGGCCGCCTAACGGGCAGCCGACAGATAGCAGCCGGTGAAAAGGTTTAACTAACTACAATCTACATGCGTAAATTATGTAAAACATTAACTCTCGCTAATAACCAACGATGCAAATGCGCTTTTATTGCTGGAATGCCATCAAGTGTATTTACATGCCTATCTGAGAAAATGCCGAGTCTTATTGACGGTAATAAGTATTTTACATCGAGTTACTGCGAGGCCACCATGATCAAGAAAAGGGTTAAATTAATTTCAACCCATTCACTTTCAGCGCACTGATATAGCAGCGTAGCACGGCATATCACGGCAAGGGCGGAAATGCAATTGCCTGGCAGCAGGTGACCGCAGCACCACATAGAAACATATCCCTAGCGACTACAGCTCTTCACTGCAGGCTAACACCAACCACGGAGACTGCGGCTGGTGACCGCCGCGCAGCACAAGAACATATCTCACCGCGAGACACGGCCGGGTGACGGGACCGGCGGGGACTGCAGCGGTGGAACAGGACGGTAACCTTAACCACCGCGGCGGGTGAAAAATGGTGGTTTGAAGATGACCGAGACACGTTTGGAAATATGTTTGCTAGTCTTGTATGAAAAGTGATTTACCGTTAAGTGAGTTGGCATTCGGCGCCACAATAGCTAGAATAGTGGGAACATAGCGGCTTACGTGCCCGGTGGCTGTTTGTCTTCCATTCGATCTCGTAAAGTTCAGTCAACATCAGGAAGCTAATCATCTCTTTGTGCTCCGGTAAGGTCAGAACGTGACGTCACGTGCTTGTGACGTCATCAGTTCCGCGTTGTCAGCCAACTCGGCGCGGGATATATGGCGTGACCCAGTCAAATTTGCTCACTCGGTGGGAAAGACGCACAGAAAAAGCGTAGCATCGAGAAGGTCAGCCATTTAGATCAGGAAGTCCATTTCAAGTTCGGAAACAGTATCCAAATACAACCGACCTTATTTCTGTAAAAAGATTTACACGTAACTTAATGAGGAAATCAGTGGGATTAAAGTCACGCATGGATGAGGATTACAGGGCAACTTTGGGCTTACAGAGCTGTCGAAAGTCCATTTTATCGTCCGAATCAAAGCGTTCGACGTGACAAATGAAGCGTTACCGGTGTGACGGCGTTAGGGGAAGGAAGCGAGGGAAGGAGAGAAAGCAGTTGGGCACATGGCGCCGCCGAAAACGGCCGCCCGGGTGGCGGCTGGACGTCTTTTGTTGCACTTGAGTGGGCAGCGAGCAGTCGGCGCCACTTTCTCACGCGGCCAGGGCCCGGCGAGAGGAGCAGATAAGTCTCTGGCCAAACTGGACCGCCGCTCATCCGGAACAGGCAGGCCGCTCTCTCGGCCGCAGAACGCAAACATTAGTATCAGGAGGTGATTTCGGTAATAGCGCAGCAGAAGCTGACCGTCCTCCAATAACGAAGCTTAGTGAAAACAGCGGCGCTCGCGCCGAGAGAGAATGACGTGAATACGGAGCGAAACTGCGCCGGTCACGCCTATTAACCTCAGGGAACGGGCGAGCCTGGCTTTCTATCATAGAAGAGCACTTCATATCCTACCGACCACCGTACGCTCCGCTAACGTTACGAGCATGCCGTACTTGCCGACTCGGTCTCGGCAGCGACGGCCGACCACAGGGACACGGGAGCAAACCGCCGCCTATCCCCCTGCATCTCTGGTCGGTGTCAGGTGGCCGGTAATCTGACCTGGCCCCAGTTACACAACTGATCGCCGGTCGCCCCGCCCTGTCCTCACCACTGACCTCCGTCGGCAGGGTGCGCCCACCGCCGCAGCCACTAACGGACCGCTTAACCCAGATCTGAGAGCGGCCCGAGTCAGACTCACGGTCAGGGTCGGGGCGCCGAGCGCCATGAGCTCATTCATGACCAGCGCCGACCGAAGCCTTAGGGAATGACCCAGGAAGGCTAGCTGATTGCTCAGGTGACGTGGCAGTAGAGTGATATGGACCTCAGGTTTTAAAAGATCCCATGTGCTCTTTGAACCCATAAAACATAATTTTCAAGTAAAATTAAAATCAATTTCACAAATTTATTGCATGATTTTGGCAGCGCAGTCGGGATAAAGAAAAATCTAGTGGCGAAGTCATCGTAAATTTTTATCCCGACTGTCTCGTCCGTCCCCGTAAGCCGGCTTGCATTAGCTCGTTGAGCGGCCTCTGTCACTCAAATGACAAACGCGTCTGGCAAGTATCCAGCGCGAGATAACAGCAGTGGAGCAGGACTTTCGCTTTCGGTGACCTTATACTGGGCCGCGATACTGGGTGGGGCGGCCGGCAGGCAGGGTCACGTCGGCTCCTGGCGCCCTCGGCGGGTCACGCCCTGAATTCCGGCGAGGTCGGGCGGCGCCCCGGCAGGCGGTCGTCGGTCTCTGGCCGCGGCCACCGTCCGATGAAAGTGAGAGCCCGCGGTCAGCGGCGGCCGCGACCGCTAACCGGCCGAACAGTGAGGAAACGCTCTCCTACAAACCGTGCGGTCACGGCAGTTACACCGGACACACGGGCTTCCAGTCCGGCCGCACGGTCCCGTTCCGCGTTAATAAATTAATTAGGGGCACAACACACATGCAAGAGCAAGCTAAGCATGCGCCGCTCATATCTGGAGGTTGTGTGGGCGGCAGAATGTCCGGCTCATTGTCCCCCAATATCAGATAGCTGAAAGTGTCGGCAGGCGCCGGGGGCGGTCACCACTTGTTCTTTGAAGTGAGTGACAGCGGCTCGCGCCGCACTGGTCCGGGGCGCCCTGAGCCAGAACGGCGCCGAGTTTCGGCCGTCACGGGCGGCTGGTCTGAATATTCCCCTCCCTCCTGCCTAAAAACAGTTGTCGGTGTGGCCGCCTCCCAGCCCCAGACCGAGGAAATCCCCGGAGAAAACTGGCCCGTGTGGGACTGGCCCGCTGCCAAGTGTACCGCGCGGCGCAGCGATGTTTCACATCATCAACGAACAAACAATAATGATTTATCCCAATAATGCAGTATTTTACCGGCAAAGAAATGGCTTAACATTTAGCCCTGGTACTACTCTGCTAATCGTGTCTGAGGATTGCATCGCATGGCTAGAATGCATAGGAATATGAAGGATTACGATATCACACAAATATAACTGTTTTAAAATGATACAACATATGCAACTGCATTGCAAGTCACAGTCCGAGTAAATGAGGAGTGATAGGAAACAAGCATCTTGTAATACTTAGAATTTAGTGGGCCCTATCGACGTTCGATTAGGCCAATCCACTACACAAGTATGTTGGAAAATAATAATTAAAGCTGGCGTATAGTACATCGCCATAAATTACACAATCCTACACAAGGCTTCAGGAAATGTTTTAAAGCAAATGGAATAAAATCCTACATAGTTAACTTTAAGCGTAGGAATATGACAGGGTTGTTCACCATGAACTGAAATTTAACCGTACCGTTAGTTATAAACCGCATAATTAGCCCCGAACCGCAACATAAAAGTATATAAAAAGGAAATTAAAGTCGATAAATGAAAAACGTTTTCAAGGAACATGTCATGAATAGTAAACGCATAGCCCATGGAAACCACTAATCACTAGGTAGTAAGCACAGATATGCTTGAAAACAGTGCCTGGAGAAACGGTTTAATGCGACCGTGAGAAAGGAAAGTTAAGAATATGAGTATCATAGGTAATAGGTAGGTATCTACTCAGGATGAACGATGGCATCAGCTTTCATGTACGCTGTCTCGGCTTCCTTGCCTTTGATTTAACTTTTGGACTTTTTCCGAGCGAGAAAAAAATGCAGCCACTTAGATGACTTATTTACATAATTAACATGCGAAATAATTTTGATACTTTTGCATGCCTGCATAACTAACTTAATAGTTTAATACAAAACATAATTTGGTGGACGAGTAAACATACGCGTAGACATAATGAATTTCGCATACAAATTAAAGTAGGTATAACTTGGCATAGATAAGTTTCCTATGCTAAGTTTAAGGCCTGGCTACACTATGCGTTTTCTGCGTGCGTTTTTGCAGGTTTGCGTGTTTTGCGTAATATCGTTCTAGGAAAAAAGTTAATAACAATATAATTTTTACTTTGGTTATATACAAAAGCTAATATAACTCTTATGTAACTAAAATTTAAGGTGAAAAACATCACAAAAACGTAATATCGTTCTTTTTTCTAGAACGATATCACGCAAAACACGCAAACACGCAAAAAACGCACGAAGAAAACGCATAGTGTAGCCAGGCCTTTACGCTGTTCTATCTAAATGAACGCTGATAATTTTAAATCGACAGGCACCTTGCTATTTACCAATTATCAGTTTTAAAAGGAAAAATAATAACAAAGCTTTTTCAAAGCAAATGCAATGTTATTGGTGACTTTTAGGAATCAATTAGGTAAAGTAATTTACTGTTTTTGTCGTTACTTTATGGCTTTCGATACAAAATGAGTTATTAACCGCTGAAAAGGTGTTCGAGTACCATTATCATGGTTTGATTTCAATATTTTGCCTGAGAGAAAGAGTAGCTGTGGCTGACTTTGGTCCGAAGCACTTCAGCTTGCATCATTAGACGGAAGCCGTTGCACTGATGCCATCGAAATAAGCTCACACTGGACGGTATATGCAGGCACACGGACTGTGTAGCACCGGCCACCGTCGTGTCCCACCTCGGTCGGTCCCGTCTCTGCACCGTCCCACCGTGGGCCCACCGCGCTCGGCCCTCGCCCGGGGTAACACATCACCGCTGTGATCAGTCCGAATGCCGGCGTCCTCGGCAGCGTCCGTCGGCGGCACACGACCCTACCTGGTCATGGTAGCACACTGGTCCTGGTCCGGACCCGCACCGCTCGCCAGCACCACACGGAATGATACTGCCGGCCGGCCGCGGCTCGCCACACTTTCATAGACGCCACGCGGCCGGGCCGACGGGGGCGGCGCAACGCCGCCGGCCATCGGGGGTCGCCCCGCGACGCTTGCCCAACCGCCGCGGCCGCCGCGCCGGTGGCCCTGGCTGGCCGACGTCAGGGCGGGGGCGGGGCGGGGCGGCCGCCGCCGGTGCCGACGGAAAGCCGTGGCGTGGCGCTGGCCGGCCGGCCGCTGCCGTGAGAGGGCAGCGTGATGCGGCACTCTGCCGCGCGGCTCGGAAGTGGAAGCGGGCCACTGTTGCGACAGCTGCACTCGATTAGTGTGGGAGGTTCAGCTGATGTGCAAAATCCAGAGCTGAGCACTCCTCGAGTAGCCCGATCAGTCTCCTTAGTAACGGTTCGGACCGGCGGGACTACGACGGCAGAGCCGGGTGCCGGCTCTGTTGTCGCTGTGGCTGTGGTCTATGCAGCTGCGTGACGGCACAGCTCTGACTATATGTGGCTGGTGAAGGTAGATCAGAGCCCACGGGCACATTGGCTATGCGGCTTCCTGTTTTCAAAGTCCGATCGCAGTTGCATTCTCGGCAGCGCTCCATATCAGCTAATAAGCAGATGTAATAATGCTAATTGATCACGACAAGGGCATCTTTCTATAAGATTCGTTTCCCGATGAGCTGAACAGAATAAGGTCTGTAGTGAAGTTAAGCTCACTCATTCATTAGAATTCCTCGGTTTGCATTATTGTCTGCTTATCCTGAAAATATTTTTAGAGATGTTTCATTTCTGTACATCGCGTCGTTCGCATGCGAAATATGAGCTAATTAACACAATCAAGACACCAACGTCGTCGTTTTAGCGAATTATGACAAATTCTTAAATGATTGATGATACTCGTTTGTGAACAGTTTCACCCGTGAGCTACAAATCGACCCGACGAAGTCTCTCGATTTCTTTGAGGGAAAGAACGATGGATGTCGAGTTAATCAACCGATGGTCTTAGAAACATAAAAATCTTCAGAACTCAGAAAGACAACCAAAATTTACAGACATGAGCCTAACATCAGAATAGATAAAGTTCATGAATTCTTTGGGGTCTGGCTTTGTTAAAGATCAAGCTAAGCTCACACAAAGGCAGCGTGATCAGGAACAAATGCCAAATGGGTGAGACTGTGTAGCTCGTGACCGGGGCATTTGGGGTCTCCAAAACAGTGCGACACCCGCAGCAGGGCCTCACCTTACCATGCCAAGAAACGGGACAGGTTTAGTCATCAGCGGTATATGAGCATTACCTGCCCATGTTAGTCACTACGATAAGTAATCATACAAACAATGTTGACCCAAATTTAATATCCAACAACGATTCACGTTATTGTACCTACGTATTGGTCTATCAAGCGTTTGGTGGCAACTCATTGTAAACACAGCATCATGGTCTCTTGGCCACAAACAGGATACACGACGTGCGAATTTCTCACTGGTTTTGCAGACGCTTTGTATAGCTTCCTCGCGTGTACCAAAACTTTCGACTGCTGTCAGCAGAGCCAACGATATAACTTTTACAGATGACCATCACTTGAACCTTGTGATAGTCATCTTTGATCCTTCTGACACAATACGATTGGACGGGGTTCGTTTCACGGTACTTTAGTAACCAAGGTGGTGACCTAACCGGCGGCAGGTCGGCGGCTTCCGGGTGCTGATGCTGACCGGCGCTGGGCGGCATCAGCATGACTCAGCGGCCGCCGCTCTCCACTGACCGCCTGCCACAGTTCCACAGCCACCTGCTATTCAACCCGTTCACCGGTGTTCAATTAACAACATTCCAGGCTATCCACCGCCGTTCATTTGTTAACATTCCATCCTCTCCAACACTGCTCTGATCGCTTGCCAAAATGTCCACCGCTGTACACCCGCCACATGCCTACCCACCGCCGTCTATGTGCCAGCTTCTGTCCAACGCTTACCTACGACCACTACTGTCACTTTCTGTCAGTTTCTGTCAGCCCTGTCACCCACTGCCAACGTCCTGTCCGCCCGCCCACCCGTCAATCTGTCACTTTCTGTCTCTCCGTCCAATCTACGTCCACCGCTATCCGAAACCTTGTCCGAAACTACGATCTTGATAACCCGGCAGATGGACAGGCGCTGACACGTGACACTAAATTACAGCACCCATCAAACAGTATGAGAAAAATGCTCGAAGCAGGATGTGAGGATGGTATCAGAAAGCTAAAAGTGCCGACTGATGACCGCAAAACAGAACCGATTATCGAAATGTAGCTTTAGGTGGGTATAGCGATGGAAAGGCGATTATCGGGCGGTGAAAAGGCAACGTGCTGACGATGTGGTACAGGAAAGGGGACTATTTGCTGACGGAAGGCAGATAATCTGAAAATAGAAAGGAAAAGTTGTGACGATGGAAAGGCAGTGTAGTTTGGCAGCTATGTAGGTGTTCTAACGACTGAAAGATGGAAGACAGTAGTCTAAAAACGGCGCCAAGACGCACAGAGCATGGGTAGGCGACGACCATGCAGTGAACAGTTCGCCTGTTGGCCGCTGACGCTTCCCAGCTGGTCTACAAGACCGGTGAGAGAAGGAGAGGGGTGGCAGAGTTGTGCCTTGCGCAACCCCAGCACATCCCACTGTCCAGCTGTTCAGCGGATCGGAGAGATCTGCTGAACAGCTCGCAGAGAGTGACGGAGCGCAAGGGACGAAATTTCATATAGGGTGGACCAGGGCTGCGGAGTCGATGGATTTTCGGCGACTCCGACTCCGAATCCGACTCCGGCTTTCAAAAACCACTCCGACTCCGACTCCGACTCCGGGCAGAATCGTCGACTCCGACCGACTCCAACTCCCGACTCCGACTCCGCAGACCTAGCAGGGCTGCGGAGTCGACAGATTTTCTGTGACTCCGACTCCGACTCCGGCTCGGGTTTCTAAAATCGACTCCGACTCCGACTCCGACTCCGGTCACAACTGTCGACTCCGACCGACTCCGACTCCGACTCCGACTCCGACTCCGCAGTCCTGGGGTGGACAATTGTAATGCAAACACCTGCTATTTTGTGCTCGTCGTGGGCTCAACCGCGGTCGTAAAAAAATCACAGCGCAACATTTATTGTCTTAGTGCCGACTAAGACTGCCTACATGATCAGAGTGCAATTGGACCGTGAAATTTGGTCATAATTGGATCACATACCATCTAAAAACGTGCATTACTGTTGAGTTTTTACTCTGAAGATCAAATGACTATCGAACAAGCCAAATGGTTGATAGTGCGCAAACTTTGCACCTTAATAAAAACATCGGATAATTTTCATGACGTGCTCATTTTCTTGGCACAGAAGATGCTATCAAACATCCTTTCAGACGGAACGTGCACGGTATACGGGATACGCCACCCCACCCCTCTCTATCCGCGTCTGCCGTTCCCCCGTGGCGCTGCACTGCAGCCCATTCAGCCTTCCAGCGCCTCGGAGCACCCTCGTGGGGCGGCGGCGGCGGAGCTATGCGCGGTTCGCACGCCATTTCCATACGGGAGCAAGGTCACGGTATCGGCGGGCACGGTGTCCTACATTCCGAGTCGAGTGCCGCCGGCGACCGCGGCGGTCGGAGGGTCCGGCCCGGCGCGGCCTCCCATGGACAGCGGGCGGACCCATGGGGGACTGGTGCAGGGGCCAAATGGCGGAGCTGACCGCTCGGCAATGCAGAACTGACACAGTTAAAAAAAAAAACACGCGAAAATGACAGAAAATATTTCGGCAGTGCTAAGGACGAATGTCAACTGCTGCTGATCCTTAAGTGCGAAAAATGCCACGAGGCAGAATAAACATGGGAAGTGGAATATAGTATAGGTGCACTGCATAGGTATAGCTTCACTTTTTCACTCTTAAGTGCATCACAGCATGAGTTACCTAAGTACCTAAAATACAAACAACGGTGTAACAGAACATCGTAATAATAAAGCTCATACCTATCATATAGGTCAAACAAAGTCAGGGAACTGAATCTCGTTTGCTTGTGATGGATCAATACTAGTAATACTAGTATTGTTTTAGCTAAAACTCTGCAGTCGTCCAATTCTAACCAGAGGGCTCACTCGACATCACACTCCTCTCAGGACAGCTCTCTGAGTTGAGGTCACAGTCACGTCGGGGCGGCACCGGTCGTGCTCTCAGCTCGACACAAAAACACACGAATCAATTACTCACCGGCCTCACGGCTGACGTAACCACACTTGACACTAAACATGTCGGCAATGAGTCAGTTTGACATCAAATGTTTACACAAGCCCTCGGTTCGACATTCAACGTGATATCTATGCATTCAAGGCGATACCTTGTCCGTTAGGTACCAAAATAACCATGAACAAGATCAAACGGTAACGGTATTAGAATCCAACCACCTTATCATTCGTTATCATGTTACGATTGCTCGATACAGAAACATACGTGCGCCATTTTATCCACAATCCGCATCATGTTCTGTCGTCAAGCATGCAGTATCGATAAGCGTCGGAGCACGCTGGGGGACGGGAGCTACCGTGAAGTGATATTTCACTTTCCGTGGCCGCTGGTTCGTCTTTCCATGTGTGTGTCCCGCACCCCTGCCACTATGATGGTGCACACCACACTGTGCACGGTGTCAGCGGCTGGCTAAGGCTTCATATAGGTATGACCAACGGTCGAGCAGAGGGGGACCGTCGATGCCGGCAGAAACCTAAAGAGAGGAAATCGAGAACATCGACGTATTGTAAATTGAAAATATTGTTTATTGGGATATTGACAATAACTCATGTTTTTTCTTATCAAAACGCAGTATTTGTTTATTCTTGTATGATGAGTCCCTTGGCTATAGCTTAGACTGAATAACTGAATTTGAGTGACTCTGTCGCGGAGTCTACCATCGCTCCAGAATCTCCGTCATCAACAAGTCGATATCGCCGGCTGCTGTCCGTCATCTTTCGACCACATGGGCGGCCTAACAATCCATTACTGCGCGCCTCACGGCAAACACCACCACAAA